CTCATCCAGTACAGTCCAACCCAGTCCAGTCCGGTCCAGGCCAGGCCAGTACAGTCTAGTCCAGTCCAGTCCAGTCCAATACGCTCCAGTCCAGTCCAGGGCCCCTCCATTGCATTCCAGTTCACGCCAGTTAAGTACAGTCCAGTACAGTCCAGTTCAGTGCAGTTACGTACAGTCAAGTCCACTCCAGTCCAGTCCAGTCCAGTCCACTCCAGGCCAGTCAAGTCCAGTCCAGTTCAGCCGGATGCAGTCCAGTTCAGTCCAGTCCAGTCCAGTCCTGTCCAGTCCAGTCCAGTCCAGTTCAGCCCAGTCCAGTGCAGTCCGGTCAAGTCGAGTCCAGTCCAGTGCAGTTTCGTACAGTCATGTCCACTCCAGTCCAGTCCAGTCCAGTCCATTCCAGTTCAGTTTAGTACCGTTAAGTCCACTCGAGTCCAGTCCAGTTCAATCCAGGCCAGTCCAGTCCAGTCCTGTCCAGTTCAGCCCAGTCCAGTCCCGTCCGGTCCAGACCAGTCCAGTCCATTTCAGTTTTGTCCAGTCCAGTCCAGTGCAGTCCAGCCAAGTCCATTCCAGTCCAGTCCAGTCTTATCCAGTAGAGTTCAACCCAGTCCAGTCCATTCCAGTCCATGCCAGGCCAGTTTTGTCCAGTCCAGTCCATTTCCAGTACGGTCCATTCCAGTCCAGTCCACTCCATTGCAGTCCAGTTCACGACAGTTCAGTACAGTCGAGTCCAGTCCAGTCTAGTGCAGTTTCGTTCAGTCAGGTCCAGTGCAGTCCAGTCCATTCCAGTCAAGTCCAGTACACTCCAGTCCAGTCCACTCCATTCCAGTCCAGTCCAGTCCCGTACAGTCAAGTCCAGTCCAGTCCAGTCCAGTCCAGTCAAGTCCAGTCCAGTCCAGTGCAGTCCAGTCAAGTCCAATCCAGTCCAGTGCAGTTTAGTACAGTTAAGTCCACTCCAGTCCAGTCCATTCCAATCCAGGGCAGTCCAGTCCGGTCCAGTCCAACCCTGTCCAGTGCAATCCAGTCCAGCATAGTCCAATCCAGTGCAGTATAGTACAGTTAAGTCCGCTGCAGTAAACTCCAGCCAAATCCAGTCCAGTCCACTGCATTGCATTCCAGTCCACTCCAGTCCAGTTTAATCTGTAGAGTCCAACACAGTCCAGTCCAGTCCACTCCAGGCCAGTAAAGTCTAGTCCAGTCAAGTCCAGTCCATTCTAGTACGGTCCAGTCCAGTCCAGTCCACTATATTGCAGTCACCTTCACGCCAGTTCAGTACAGTCCAGTCCAGTCCGGACTAGTGCAGTTTCGTACAGTCAAGTCCAGTCCAGTCCAGTCCATTCCAGTCAAGTCCAGTCCAGTCCAGTCCAGTCCAGTCCAGTCCACTCCAGTCCAATCGAGTCCAGTCCAGTCCAGTGCAGTCCAGTACATTGCAGTCCAGTCCAGTCCAGTCCAGTCCAGTCCAGTCCATTCAACTCCATTCCTTTCCAGTACGGTCCAGCCCAGTCCAGTCCAGTGCAGTCCAGTGCAATTTCGTACGGTCAAGACCACTCCAGTGCACTCCAGTACAGTCCAGTACAGTCCAGTCCAGTCCAGTACAGTACAGTGCAGTCCAGTGCAGTTTAGTACAGTCAAGTCCACTCCAGTTCAGTCCAGTCCATTCCAGTCCAGTCCAGTCCAGTCCATTCCAGTCCAGTGCAGTTTAGTACAGTCA